TTCACTGCCTAGTCAACAAAGAGGTGCTTGTTAGACTGCATATGTCACAACATCTTAATATAGTTTAATTTAGTGGGGAAATGAGACACGCACATGGGACATAAATTCTAATTTCCACGACTGTAACAGCAAAATTTTAGTGATGGAATTTTTTAATTCAAAATTTAAATTTTGTAAGAAAAAATAACAGTTTGACACAAATTGTCTACACAATAATGAAACTAATGTGTCAATGGTAACTTTTTGACCAAATTTTACTCAATAAATTGCGTCAATCCATTTCTTTTGTGGGAAACTTTGTTACGACATTATGTATCGTCACCAAAAATATGTGACTCATGCATTAAGTATGAAATGTAATTTTTTGTTAACAAAAATGAATAAGTAGTGATGAATTTTCTGTCTTATATAATTGTTTCATGGTTAAATATCATATTTGCTGCAGTGTATGCAAACCAAATAAAGATGACACTTTAAATTATATAATTCCCCGCCTAGTCAACAAAGAGGCGCTCGTTAGATTAAAGATCTCACAACATCTTAATATAATTTAGTTTAATGGGGAAATGAGACACGCCATGGGACACGAATAAGTTGAAGAAAGGAGACAAAACGGGAAGCAAAATAAAAGAAATTTTTAATAAAGAGAAATGTCAAACATAATGCACATCAAAATCCCGCGCCTCGACTGTCTTAAAGTAATAGAATAATCGGCCGGATAGCGCAGCATGTGCTATAGACGTTCCTATCAAAAGACTTCAGCTGAGCAATCATACCTGGCAAAGCATTACAACTTGCACTTAAATGTTAGCACACTCGGGCAAAAACTAATCTGTGTGCCTATAAAACTACAAATAGGTTATAAAATAATATAAGGTGCAAGTAAAACAAGAAAATTAGAGAGGAAACATAAAGAGAGACTCCATTGCATTATTTGATGTCTTACAAATGGGTAAAGAAACTGTCCCATTTATAGGAAGAAAAGAGCTTGGTGACCAAGTAACTAACTTGGTAACTATTAACTAAGTAACCAACTTAGTCACAAGTAACTAGATTAATTCATAACTAACTGAATTGCTCCCCAAGTAATATTATAATGAATGGACATACAAATAAATAATATTTATAGCATTCTCTCTTGGATGTCCGATGCCATTAACAGATGATGTGCTTTGTTAAATTTACTAGGAGAGAAAAAAAGTTCTAGTGAAGCAAAAATAGTACACATATCTAGTAATACACATTTCAAACTGCCTCTGTCACGACCCAAAATCCCACCTTAAGGATCGTGATGACACCTAGTTCCTAAGACTAGGTACGCCTAATACATAACGAAATTGGTAGAGATATCAACTAAAAAAGTAATGAAAACTGAGGAGTGTCATAATATAACCAACCACGAAAAATAATAGTCGTAAATCCCAAAAATCCGGTAATACTGAGTCATAAGCTCTACAAGAAGTTCATCATAAATCTCAAAATACAATACTGTTTGAAAAGAACAAACAATAGTAAGGGAACAAGGGAAGGTGATTCTGAGGCCTGTGCGCGGGACAACAGGTATACCTTGAAGTCTCTCAGCAACTCGAAATCAGCTCACTAACGTCCGGCATGCGCTGAGGTACCTGAATGTGCACAAAAATGTGCAGAAACATAGTATGAGTACACCACAAATGGTGTAATTATCAAGACTAACTTCAGTGGAGTAGTGACGAAATTTAAGTTCAAACACTCACTAGGCAATAACCTATGCAAAATATCCATATAAAGTTAACACGGAAAGCAAAATAGAATGAAAAGCAACAGAGATTAGAGAACGGCAAATTAATCAAAACTTGTACAATACAAAGCGAAGACAATTAAGGGAAAACAATGACATATCCAAATCATCAACCGATCCAACACAAGAATAACAACAAGAATCCCCCGAAGCACCTCATAACATAATCACAAATTACAAGTCCCTTTTATGACTCCACATGAGCTTCACATTTTAAAAATATTTTTTCAAAATAGCTTTACGTGCATGAGCCCCCTTATCTCGCTGCGTGTACATCACAATGAAGTGTTTTCCATACTAGCAACACGCGCATATGTCTCCTTATCTCCCCGCATGAGCATCAATATACACACCACTCTTATGCCGCCGCATGCGCATCTCAATCACAACACATTAATAACAATAACCCACACCTCACGTACACATATGCCAATATATCACCACAATAATAATACCAATACCACAAAAAGATATAGTCCATGGCTCAACAATAATGTATACATGAATCGTAACAATAATGTAAGGGTGCGGGGAGTGAACAACAAAATAAAAACATGTTTCATATAACATACAACTCCAAATCGAGGCATATTAATAGCCTAAGGTCTAATTCGGTCATAACCAACACACACTACAAGAAAAATGCTCAATAGCGAAGGGAAAACTTGTCCCTAAAAGTAAGGAATTGGTCGCAAATTCTCAATAGCGACCAACTAATCTGGTCCTTATAGCCTCCGTCGCTAAAGGTTATTAAGGACGAGATAGTGTGCTGGTCGCTAAAACAGTTTAGCGACCAGTTTCAAACTGGTTGTTAAATGTGTTTTAAGGACCACATTTCTGGTACTTATTTGCATATTTTAGGGACTAAATTTCTGGTCCTTAAAATATTTTCGCGGCTAGTTTAAATATGGTCGTTAAAACGTTTCACGACCAGTAAATTTCTTGTCCTTAAAATATTTTCGCGGCTAGTTTAAATATGGTCACGACCAGTTAGAAGCTGGCCGTTATATCTATTCAGAGAAGTTTAAAGCTGGTTCCTAAAGAAACAAGTCACAAGTCCCTAAATCACATTTAGTTTGCAACTAGAAAATCGGAAATATTAATATATAGATAATGTTGCTTTCATAAAATAATACCAAAAATGATCAACATCAGTTAATTAGTTGAATCGTACATCAATGATTTAAGCTAGTCACAATATTGTGTTCATAAACATTTAGCAAAAAACTACATATAATAATATCCCTCTATTGTAATGTAAAATTTTCTTGAAATTCCAAGCAAAATTGTGGTTGATCTCTATGTCGTCAAAAATCGCCTTTCTCGTAAACTTCAATATCCAAAACCTGTTGAAGAAATAAGAAATTTCAGTTAGAAAAACTATATATAACAGACGTATACTCAAGTCTCAAGGGAGAATCCTGGGAGAAGCTCAATAGGATATGTGCGGAGGAATAAAGAGGGAGAAGCAATGTAACAGTGGCTCACACCCTCAGAGAAGGAAACAAATTAGCTGATCATTTAGCTAACTATGCTCTGGACTTTGGAGATATTGAAGCAAAAAATTTCTGGGTGCTGGATACACAAGGAAGGAAAATAGTGAATGATGACAAGTCACAATGCCCATATATAAGAGTGAAAGTTGCAGGAAACTAGAAGAAAAAGGGGTACCAACGAGGAGAG